CCTGTGCAAGCAAGTTGTCTTGAGGGTGAGATTGCCACTAAGTTCCACGTGGGATGCGTGTGTTGGAAGCTTTTACTTACATGATTTCAGTTTTGTTGCACTGAGGGCTTGGGGCAAATTGTTTGAGATCTCTTAAGGACCTGTAGGAGGGGATCGTGCCTTTCCTGGTCTCGATGCAGGAGCAACGTTGATTCCTTATGACTAGGTTTCCTATAGGAAAGAAAACACGCGTGTTTAGGTCAAGGTCTCGCTGGGCATGGTTGATGAGAACGATGATGAGAATTATTGCTGTCCCTGGGTGTGTGACAGAGTTTCCAGGCAGGCATTATTTCCATTCTGTAAACGAGGAAGCCAGGGTTAAAGACAAAGTCATTTAGCAAAAGGAAGCAGGAGAAGAATTTCAGTTTAGGTCACTCTGAGTCCACTACCTTACTCTACAATCTTAGAAGAAGAGAAAACTTCCCCAGTACTTAGTTAAACCCACACTGACGTTAGGCACACACATACACTCTGTACTGTGATGATGGAATCCTCAACCCAGTTATTACCTGACCTCAGGGACATGGAGTTTGATGTAGGAATGGACAGAAAGCTCTTCTTGCAATAACGAATTATCACTTCAATCCTTATCCCTTCTCATCCCACTGCTCTGAAAAGTCTTTTTAAATATTCTGTCTTGGTCCTCAAACCTTCCATAGACTTAGCATCTATTTGCATAGGTTTTACTATCCTGCATTAACTCCTAAATTTCGACTTTAAAGATGCAGAAAACATTCTAGGAAGGTTATTTGTCCACCGTAAACTAAGTCCTGAGTGAAAAGGCCAGAGGCAGCCTCTCTGGTTTCTGAGTTCTCAGTTGGTTAACCGCAGACGGTTATCAGCGCACAGGATCAAATGAGGCTGCTGCCGGAGACGATTTAGGAAAGGATCTCCTGGCTCACCACCAGTTGCCAGAGCTACAGATGTCACATCTCGCATGACAAATGTCAGACTCACGTGAAATGGAAACGAAATACCCACAAATCCCTTTACATCTGAAAATGGGGTTTCTCGTTATTCAAATAGGGTTTTGAACCCTCACTAGAAACTCACAATGCCTACACCAAGAAGGCGTGTTTGACTTGGCAGGTGCAAATCATGACCTTTGGATAACTGGTCACAGCATCCAAATGCTTTGAGTGAGCAATTATTACTTTTTATTGCATGCAAAACATTCTGCTTTATCTCCTGAACCAAGAAGTCTTTTTATAGCAATGCATATACCAGAATTGACTAACTTGATACAATGTAAAGCTCCTCACCTTGAACCCCACACTGGTCCAGGAAGATGACACCCAGGAGAAATAGAGCAATTGACCTCATGGCAGAGCAGAGTTCTATGGAGCTGCTGTGCCGGGTTCAAGTCGGAGAAGGTCTTTGGAGAACGTGTTCTTGGGAATCATATTTGTTTAGGAAATCCCTTCCCCTTCTCGTCTCTGATTGGCTGGTCTCCTCAGCTGACCTAGAACTAAATTAACCACAAACTCAATTGTCCTGGGGAAACCCCTGCTCTCAGATCCCAGGGAATTTCTGCACGTTTTACTTCCACTTCACATAAACGGGTAGGTTTATAGGAAGAGATGTGAAACCGCCAGTGCCCGCTTTTAGCACAGCCAAAGTTGCTACCTGGATGCAAAATGGATTCTAGGATGAAGGCTGGAGGCGTGCTTCCCACGTGAGAGAGATGGACGTCCAGGGAAGTGACTCTTTTATATCTGTAGTGCACATAGATCCGTGCACTATGTAGCTACATTAATCTTTTCTCATATTTCCCACACAACTTAAAGCATCTTAATTTGTTGAGGGACTAGATTGTTTTCTCCTTGTGGCAAATTTATTTTGTCTTCTTGTTGCTACAGTTTATCACTATTTTGATTGTCAGATGAGTTGCATAAGCCACAACTGCTCCATTCCTTGCTACCTTTTCCAAATATTTCCCCCAATGTCTGTAACACTGATAGCGTGACTATGGCATGAGAACATGCAATAATGAGTATTTCCCAAGGCGTCCAAAGGGGCTACATCTACTAAACAGCATTCGACAGCAAATAATTTTAAAAATAAAGTAGCTATCAAAACATCCTGGCTGTTCAAAATTCTTGTAGCTGTTGAAACTTCAACCAGAGTGTGACGATGAGAGACATGGCATCACGTGTCCTCAGAGAATATTATTTTCTGGGACAGGATGAGAGCTGGAGGAAATGAGGGGGAAAAAAAAGCAGGACAAAGGGACAAAGCCAAAAATTACCCTTTCAAAACAGGAACAAATAAAAGTGCATAAACTGCCAGTGCTATATATAGTCCTTTGACGCTTCCGGTCCAGATGAGGGTGCCATTAGAATCTAATAAAAGCACTGCAAAATCTGACTGAATGCTGGATAAGACTGGCAACAGGTGTCAGCGGCTTCTCTACTTCACGCAATAGTTAAGATAGGACTGGCAAAAAGTATTAGAGAATTTTGCCTTTATTTCACATGATCATTGAGTACACTTGTTAATAGGGAAAGATGGTACTGTTCTGTAGCTGAGCACACACACTGCTAGACTTTGTCTCCATGTCACCTGCGTCTAGACTTTCAATCTTCTGGTCTCCCCTAGAGACGCTGGACCAGCTTTCAGTGAACTAGCGCTTGCAGCTTCCTTTTCGGCTCAATCTGGAAGAACGCCATTGGATAAAATGAACAATAGCATGCAAATTACCTTTCCTCTTCTCTCTCTCCCCCACCTGTTGCTCCCTTCTCTCTTTATCCATCCTCTTCCTAGATCTGCTGGTTTGACTGAATTGCAGGCAACAACCCCAGGTATAACCCCAGTCTTGTTAAGATAAAAGCAAAACATATTCCTCAAATCAAAATAAGTCATCTAAACAATATTTACCAACTTTTTCACTATGTACTCTGCTTCTCTATGGAAAAGCATATGTAACTTAATTAAAATTGTTTTAAAATAAGTGAACCAAAATCAAAAGTAAATTTCTCCCTAAAGAGAGAAAAAAATACATATATGTATATATGTATGTGTGTGTATATATATATATTACACACACTATACTAGGAAATGGATTTTATAAGGTGAGGTTGAACTTTGGTTGAACACTAATCATTGTAATGCAGGTTTTTTGTTTTGTTTTGGGATAAGATCAGGGACTCATTCTGTACGCCCCCCCCCCCCAGGCTGGCTTTGAACTTGCCATTCTCCTGCCTCAGCCTTCTGAGTATTGGGATTGTAGATCCGCATCCTGTGAACTGCTAATGTCTAAGAAGTTTTTAGGCTTCCCAGACTGATGGTTGTCCTCGGAGCGGTTATACTTCCCCTCTTCCTAAGGAATGCACGTTTTAGAATAAGAGGATAACTTACAGCTCCATTTTATGTTACATGATGTACAATTTTCACTCGTTTCTACGTGGATTAGAAATACAAATATTACAGAAATAGTTTTGAAAAGCAAAACTTACAGTGACTTTTGACAAGTGTATCCATTGGTTATGTTTAGTCCTGGCAATGACTGTGACGGTGGCTAGGGTGGACCTGGGCTCAGGTACCAGTTTTTTTTTTTTTTTTTTTTTTTTTATTTTCGAAACAGGGTTTCTCCGTAGCTTTTTGTTCCTGTCCTGGAACTAGCTGGAACTAGAGCAGGCTGGCCTCGAACTCAGAGATCCACCTGCCTCTGCCTCCCAAGTGCTGGGATTAAAGGCGTGCGCCACCACCGCCCCGGCTCAGGTACCAGTTTTACTACTTGATGACTATAGTATTGATAGCCTCTGCCAGCCTTGGAACTCTTGCCCAAGAAAACAGCGGTCAGTTTCACAAGCGGTTGTTAAAGATTAATAGCAAGAATATGCTGCCAGTGGGTAGCATCAGAGATTTGCAAGCAGTCAGAGGGTGGAGCATTAGTGACTGTAGAGTGCTGTGATCTTAAACAGGACATCCGTGTCACCTCTGCCTCCAGGGTCAGGGAATATCCCAGAGGAGGGGCCAGAAGGAATGTAAGAGCCAGAGTTGGGGAGAAGTGCTGAGAGATTGTTTTCCGGCCTAGATACCCCATTGCGTGCATAAACTCAGGGTGGCTGTGTTTACCTGCTCAGGACATGCAGAGCGTGATAGTAACTGTTTCGTCATGCCTAGAGGAAAGGCTGGGGAGGCCCCACCCTTAATTAATGTTTATGAGTCAAAGAGAAACGAGTTCAAAGTAAGGAGGGCATTTCTGGGAAGAAGAATGGTTTCAGTAGGAATGAGGGATGAGAGAGGGCAATGGGCGGGGAAAAACACCTGAAATCCAGCATATGCATGCGTGCAATTGTCAAAGTGTATACAGATGGAACATTCTCCCAAACGCAAGCACCGCGAAGCCGTGACTCTTCTTTCTAGCAGAGCCGATGTAGACTTCCTAGAATAAAGAGGAAGAAGGCTCAGTATGAGCTGTCTAGTTCATTTTTCCAGACTCTACTTGCATCGTTTTTTTCTTGTCGTGACTTTGAAAAAAAAAATAGCTCATGTTTTTTTCATGTCTGTAACTTGACCTTTCATGTCTGTAATGTGACACTTTTACCTTATTCAGCATCCCGACTTTGGGAAGCTGTCACTTAGCGTCACAAGCGCTAAATCTTCGTGGCACCTCACGGCTTGTCCTCACTGAGCAGACAGAGTGAGCAATGTTAGACTATCTGGGATACTCTAATCTCTCCTACATAGGAGGAGGGTTTGTAAAGATCCATGTTAGAGTATGGCGATAGATAACCCAGCACCTATCCTGAAGAATGTTCCAGGATATACTATCCTTGAAGCCTAGTATATACTAGTAAATAATACTCAGAAAAAATGTTCACAAGTGACAAATAGGGACCAGAGCCCAGCTGGGCAGATCTGGCATCAGCTGAGGATTGAGATCTTGAGCCACAGATTCTGTGACCTCGTCTAGTGGGACTATGCACAGTGCGCATGCCCAGCCAGTTTGCTTCCAGAACTTTCACCCGGAGCGACCAACGCTCACTCTATGCGTGTAGTTGCTGAGGCTGCCTGCACTCGTTCGTCTACTGAAGAGAAGAAGCACTTTAGGGAGGAAAGGTAGTGTGTACCTGGGGCTCCCCTCTCTGTCCCCACTGTCCCCCAGCCTCCTGGCCTGAGAAGGCCATTGGTCCCAAGGAAGCCCAACGGAGGCTCAACTGGGAGCTCGTCTTTCCGGGAGCCACCTAGGTGGCTTTCTCAGGAGCCTTGATGAGGGTGGGAGGGAGCAAAGGCTCCAGAAGCCTTGCTCATGGCATGGAGGTCACAAGGCTGGGGAATAGGTCTGAGGTGATTCTGAGGGAAGGTCCTTTGGGCAGGAGCTGGTGTTGAGGTCGGCCGGAGCCCCTGAGTCCATTTAACCCAGGATGTCCGGAGCCACAAAACCTCAGAGCCCCAGATGCTCTGATCCCCAGAGGCAGCGAGCTCCACAGCCCTGGCTCCCCGCTGCCTTGCAAGGGTTTCTTCCTCGCTAACAGCTGAGGAGGCCTCCCGAGCAGCGGGAATATCCTTCCATGGTAAGGCTTCTGGGATTATCTGGGCGCTTAGGCATATGAAGGTTTAAGATAGACCAGTTGGGTTCAGGCTCTTCAGACATTTGCTTTCCAGACTCCATTTTTGACAAATTCAGGACAGCTTCCAGAGGAAGAAGTGCCGTGCAGACTGGAGAGAAAGAAGAGGCAGTCCCCAGAGACTGCGTTTATGGATAGAAGGCTTTTTAGGAGAAAAAGAAACTTGCTAAGACAGGATGTTGCTGGGGTTTCTCACAGGCCTGGGAAGAAAGCCAAGGATTATAAGGGCTGTTGGAATCAACAGACAGTTCCTAATTCCCCCTTGGACAGCAACAACAACAAAAAAATCTTCCTTTTTCCCAAGTCAGTGTCCCTGAGGAAATCACTGGTGATGTAATATGCAAGAGCCAGGCACAGCAGGCCCTGTGTGTGTCATCGGCCTCCCTTCCACCTGCTCTCCAATGGAACTGTAGAAGTCCGTCAAAATAGGTTAGCAGTGGGCTGTCACAGTAGAGACAGGGTGCTTCCCTTTGCATGTCAGAAGGGAAGTGTCTCTCAAATTGAAACTCCTACTATGCTTGTTTGAATTTCTCACTATGCCCCTCTTTTCACTGGTTTCTGCTACTATTCGAGGATCCTAACTTTAAAACGGTGTATTTCTCAAAAGTCTCAGGCTGTGAGTTAGCGTTCTGAATTCTTTCCCCCCAGTCGGGGAGTCCTTCCTTTAACCAACAAAAACAAACAAAAAACTGAAAAACTATTTTGCTAGCAAATTGTACTTTTGTGTATTTCAGGCCCTTAACAACGGAGCAAATTCTTTCTTCATTCATCTTATTATCTTGGCTTCGTGGTTTATATCTAATGAAAGCCCCATGGCTGGTTAGATTTGTAACTAGATAGTTCTGAGAGAGAATGTCTGGACAGCTTTTCAAGGTCAGACGTAAGCCGGGGCTGGCTTGTCCTGTGACTTTTGGCAAGCTGGTCTGCAATCTGATGACATGCATAGACAACAATCACAAAAGCCCTGCTCCCAGGACCCAAGGAAATCATCCTGAAACGGGAGGACATGTTTTTCTGTTTTAAATATTCACACTTATTGTGAGTGATTTACTTTAGAATTTAGAAAATAGCTCTCCAAAGGCCGGAACGCAGAAGTTCTGAGTGCCTGCTGCTCTGGCTGAAGGCGCAGGTTCGGTTCCCGGCACCCACACGGCAGTAACTCCAGTTCCAGAGGACCTGTCAGCCCTTCTGGTCTCCACAGCATGGCATGCATGAGGCACACAGATGTACCTGCACACAAAACACCCATACACACAAAACTATGTAAATCTAAAGCAAAAGCCTCTAAGGGGAAAATCCTTTTTATTAGTTTCCTTTTTTTTTTTTTTTTTTTGAGACAGAGTTTCATATAGCTAGCCTGACCTAATTTTTTCATGTAACTGAGAATGAACTTGACCTTCTGAGTCCTGGGATTACAGGTGTGTGCGTGTCCATGCTGGAAGATCCCGCGTTCACAAGCGCCTTATTTACCTTGTGTTCTCATTCTTTCTAGTCCATTCATCAAACTTTTATTATAATTTTAGATTCTAAGGACACAAATTTTTCTGCCCTCAATGAGCTTATTTACTTGGAGGCAAATCAACATTAAACAAATAATGACTACAGGGCCAAAATATTACATAAAAGGACAGTACACAAGTACTGGGTGCAGAGAATCCCCATCTATTGTGAGACGCTTCAGGCAACCGTTGGACTAGACCTGGAGGGGAAAACTGGAATTCCTAACTGCAAGAAAGTAAAGAGGCAGGAGAAGGCATTCAGAAGCAGCAGGGGCTGTGCGAGGGTAGAAGACGGTGGAAAAGGGATTGTGAGGGTTGGGTCGAAAAATGTAGCCAGCCGCTGAAGGGCAAAGGGGCTTGGAGTCCGGGAGGGTGAAACGAAGGATTCCACTCAAGAAAGCACACCATGGAGGCTTATGAACTGCACGAACACACACAGGAGCATGCACACACAAGCACACACACGAGTGCACGCACACACGAGCATACACACAAGCGCATGCACACATGAACACAAGCACACACACGAGCATATAAACACAAGTACACGCACACACGAGCACACACACATGAGCGTGCACATGCATGAACACACACACCCTACCTGTTTGTATATCTTCATCGCTAATTTTGTCACATTTTTACCCGTTAATTTTACTTTATATAATAATCTTTCCTTTGCCTCTATGTGGATGATGTATTTTTTAAAATAGTTCTTTTATATGTCTAGATTGTTCTCAATGCTGGACATTTGGGTTGTCCCTAGCATACAATAGTGCTCTAAGTATTTTGTTTTCTGGTTGTGTGTGAGGCGGTGCGCTCCTGTAGTCTCAGGTACCAAGGAGGCTGAGACAGGAGGATGGCTTGAACCCTAGTGTTCAGGGCCAGCATGGACAACACGAAGAAACCATGCCTCCTAACGGAAATGTTTAGTTTTTCCTCCTTTGACACTAAAAAGACAAATAAGAATATTCAATATTTTCTGTAACATTTGATTGCTTGCCAGAAAGAGGTTAATTTCATAATAGCCCTAACTGATATGTATATGTATTTGTTCCTCAGCCTTCTATTATTTGTATTTTTTATGCAAAAATTGGCATATGAGATTTCCAGTTGTACCACGTGTGTGTGTGTGTGCACGAGCTTGCGTAGTCATGTGTGTACAGGTGTACAGGCATATGGAAGCCAGAGGTCACCCTTGACTGCTGTTCCTCAGGTGCTGTCCAGCTTAGCGTTTCGTTTCGTTTCTTTTCTTTTCTTTTCTTTTCTTTTCTTTTCCTTTCCTTTCCTTTCCTTTCCTTTCCTTTCCTTTCCTTTCCTTTCCTTTCCTTTCCTTTCCTTTCCTTTCCTTTCCTTTCCTTTCCTTTCCTTTCCTTTCCCTTTCTTTCTTTCTTTCTTTCTTTCTTTCTTTCTTTCTTTCTTTCTTTCTTTCTTTCTTTCTTTCTTTCTTTCTTTCTTTCTTTCTTTCTTTCTTTTAAACAAAGGCTCTTACTCTCCTTGAACTTGCCCGTAGGCTACTCTGGCTGAGATTTAACTGTCTCCGTCTCACCAGCATGGGGGATTAGAAGCACAAACTACTCTCCCCCAATTCCCAGTCTCCCACCCCACCCCATTCTCTCCTCCTCTGTTCCTTCTCTTCACATACAGTTGGGCATCCATGCTGTGGGCTGTCTTACCTGGTGGATATCAGTCAGCCACACCGTGGGCTGTTTTACCTGGTGGATATCAGTCAGCCATGCTGTGGGCTGTCTTATCTGGTGGATATTGGCCAGCTATGCCGTGGGCTGTTTTACCAGGTGGATATCAGTCAGCCACACCGTGGGCTGTTTTACCTGGTGGATATCGGCCAGCCATGCTGTGGGCTGTCTTACCTGGTGGATATCAGCCAGCTATGCCTTGGGCTATCTTATCTGGTAGATATCAGTCAGCCACACCGTGGGCTGTTTTACCTGGTGGGTGTCGGCCAGCTATCCGTGGGCGATCTTTTGTGGATGGGTTCTGGGGATTGAACTCGGGTCCTCATGCATAAGTGGCAAGCACTTTACCAACTGAGCTATTGTTCCAGTCCTCTATTTTATATCACAGTTACATTTTAGCTTGTCTTGGTTTCATACTTACATAGTCTACCTTTCTAAGATCAGTTGTCAAATAGGGTCAGAGTACAGTAGTCTTCTGATCTTGGTGGATCTACTTCAAAACGTTCAGCAGATGCCTTAGAACCATAGGTAACACCAAGCCTTGTATATGACTATACTATTTTTTATATACATACATACCTATGATAGGTTTAACTTATAAACTAGGTATGCTAGAAGGTTACAGCTATAACAATATACTCCAACGAGAGGTATGTGAGGGCGATGTCTCTCAGAATATCCCTCAACAACCTTGTAGTGGCTGTGTTCGAACCTGTGGAGAGTGGAATTGAGAATACAGGGGATCACAGCGTTGACATTGTAAATATATGTCAATCGTTTACATATTTTGGATGGGAAAGTATCCACTTTAGTTAAGTGATCTTTATTTTGTTGCCTTCCTTTCATGACTTTTTTTTTCTTGAATTCAACTCACGTCATGAGCTGGTTTATGTCCCCCAAATCCTTTTGTGGGAGCTGGAGCTTCTGGTGTTCTCAGACTGTGACTGCATATAGAGATAGGGCCTTTGAAGAGCTGATTAAGTTGAACTGAGGTCCCAAAGGGGAAACCAAAGAATAGATCTATTAGCAGAAATGTCAAATCACTTGTCTGAAGCATGCTTTTATAGAGCTAAGGAAGCCAGTGCAAAGAACAACAAAATGAAGGCAGCAATAAAGAAGTGGGAATTATAAAAAAAAATGTACATTTTGGGACCTGGAAAATTTGAAACCTTCAGCAGCTGGTGGGAAAGCGTATTCCTGGGGCCCTGGGATCAGTCACCAGTACCACACGAAAACCCAACTGAAACCACACAGGAGGTCTCCAGTGGCAATTGTGAGTAGTCAGGAGAGAAAAG